TCATTCGAGTTCCCGCCATTACCACACCAGAAGATGATGTTTCGTTGTTTTCTTTTTCCTCAAACTCAAATTTGGCGGGAATTCTTTATATAACTAGTGAGTCACGTGCACACACTTGAATTACCAATAACTTAATTAGTAGATCAATTACATTAAAGTCAAAAAGCAAAGTAATTAACGGAGCAATTATAAATTCTATATAATAAAACAATTTGAAGCGCAAAACTCTATGAGAATATATTTTACTGAAATTCTTCAATGGTGTGTTTAAACGAAAAATTATTAATTTGATTTCATAAAACTAATTTTAATGCAAAAGTTACATTTTCTGCTTTTAAACCTCTGCTCAATTAATTTTTTTAATAGTATCAAGCGTGTTTGATAATAATAAACAAAATTATTAACTAGGAATTAATTGATAGAAATCATTGCAGTTTAACTTGTGATCTTAAATTTAAATTTTAATAAACATAATTATATTAAATATTAACTTGACTCGAACATTATATTTAGTAAAAGATTTATTGGTTTAGAAAGAAAAGAAAAAAGAAAAATATGAAACAGGTTTTCTAATTTTTTTTGGTTGTGTTTGTGATTTTGCTTACATAAACGAAGGGGCATAAGCGATGTTCCCGTGCAATCAATAATGTACATACGTTTATGAATTACAGGTGCTTCTTTACTAACTCACGGGGTTTTTGTGGATACTTGGGACAGATAGAATTTACTGCAATAAATGCAACATCCTTTTCTTTGTTTTTTTCCTACCAAATCGTTTTTCATCTTTAATTGAAAATCATTTACTGATAAATAAATTGAAAAATAGGCTAACAAAATATAAAAAACACGAACTATTTATTATTAACTGAGGAAGGCAATGTAGGAGAAAAATTTCACGAGATGGACACAAAACAGACTTAACTATTATTTTACTATTTTTAACTTTTTTAAATTAATATTTTGTAAAATTACTTGTTTGTTAAATTTTGTTAACCTTGAAACTAATTATAGTCAAATATTAACATGACAAGTAACTTTAAAATATTGTCCATGGTATAAACAACATTTTTAAAAGAATTAAAGGAATTAGTTAAAATATTTAATAAAATGCATCGCAAAATTATTGACCAGTGGTTGATAGTATAACCCTTAACTTTATAGGGGAATGAATATTAATTTTAGAGATAACAAAAGTTATTAACTTTTTTATTGAGTGGAAATATTTTCAAGTGCTAAATTAAGAATTTTTTTTTTTTTTAAATCCTGGAAGTGATTTTGTTTATGTTAAATATATAATTTTTTATAACTTATAGTAGCATAAAAATTAAAATTAATATATTTACCGAGTTAAATTTTAAAATTAACATATCTAAAAATGGATCATGTATGCAAAGCAGGAATTATGATTGAACCGAGCAGGCATTAACATTTGAAATAATGTGAAGTGTGTGTGCAAGCGATTGTTCCACTTGCGCATCTTTGCGGCGGGTCTTGTGATTGGCATTTTCATTGGCATGCGCTGTAAATGTAGTATGAGAAGGGAACCTTTATGTTATCACTTATCAGCATGTAAATGAATATAAACTTATGAAGCTTACAATGTCAGCAAAGGAACATGCAAAGATAAGGATAATATTTGAAGTTTCTATTGACCATTTCCCTTTGCCTTGCCAGGGACCAGACAGAAGGAAAAGCAAGAAACTAATGCTAATTAGGATTAATAATACCATGTTTGGGTCAAATGTCGCAATGATTATGTCCCGTGCTTTCATTAGTGACGCAGAGTATACTAATTAAAGATCCCAATTCATGGGGTCACTCCCATGACCTCAACAACATGATATTTACATGTGGGTTCCATTTCTGATTTTTTGTCCCAAAAAGAAAATAATAAGAATCCCATAGCCAGACAAGGAATTAAGGTCCTTCATTTATGGTTTAGAGTAACCTAAATGCCATTTAGCATAAAAAATTGTCAGCACAGTTTTTATAATATTTTACAGTATATCATTAGTTTGTGTTAGGAAATATTACGTTAATAAATAATGCATTTTGTTTTTTTAGACTCTATAAAGTTGAGTAGATTTAGTTATAATCAATTGTGCAAATATGAAATAATAACAATATATTTGTACTATTATTTAAAAACATTTCCCCCAGTTTTTGGGCCCAAATAAAAGGCAGAGCTAATTGCCGGAATCCTCTTCATCAGACACGTTGAAGGGAAATTTGATTATATACATTTTCGTATATATGGGTGATACGCTTTTCCTTTTAGTGTGAAATACATGTTAAAATTGGCCCTTTAGAGTGCAATAAACATTTTAGAAACTTTAGAGTAATCGTATCTGGATCATTAAATATAGTAAACGCGTAAGATTATTACAAACCATGTAGAAGTTAAAAATTGTTTTTTTAATTAAAATTTTGCCATTAAAAATATGTAAAAAGAAAAAAGAAACAAAGAACTGATGGTAGAGCTATCTAGCTTCAGGTATGTTGAAGAGGGCTAGGCTAAACACAAACGTGGATTTTTTTCTCTAATGATGTAGTTAATTTTTTCTTGAATTTAATTGAATTTTAATTTGACGTATAGTAATTATTTGTTCATTATAATCAAATGTCAAGTTACAAGCCCTTTGTGCATGTTACACTTTAAAGAATTACATACGACACTCCTTTTTATTGATATGTTTATTTCTACATAAATTTCAATTCTAACTATATCATTGATAATAAATATATTATATCTATGACCTAGTTACAACTTCACAGAATGCTCTTTATTCACATTTCCATACAATCTTCTTTTTTTATTTTTTTCTTTATTTCAAACTTACCTATCATTTAGTGCACCGATTGCTTGATTCACCCAATTGTGTAAACCAAGGAGTGCTGTAACTTTTCGAAGAGGCTCTCGCCAAGGGCCTTATGACACAAATTGCCTTACTACTGCTACTATTCATGACATTGCAATAGAACAACCTAACTTAAATATAAAATTAACTACAATTTTTATCAATCCGTAATGATACGTTACGAAGGGGAAACATGTAGATGAACCGACAAAACATGTAATTATATTAAATATTTTGAGAAATTTTTTATGGCTACATTGATATTATCATCTTTTTTTTTAACTTGCTTCCTACTTCCTTACTTTGTTTTCCTCTTTGATGAAAGGGCCATAGATGTGAGGAGGCAATAAAACCGTAGGGAGACATAAGAAATGACCTCACTTTGATGAAAGGGCCACAATCTGAAAACACAATTATTAAACTCGACGAGTCTGATGTGCAAAAAGATTAACATAATAATGTAATTTAACCAATAACTCGATGTAAGTTTCTCTTAAGACCTATAAATTCCACCATGGTTTTAATTGACATAAAATTTAACGCATGTCTGAATTCAAGTTAAAAAAATTAATAAACATAAATTCAACGTAAAAATTATAATCAATAATATTAAAGTAAATATAAATTTAATACTCAATTAGACACAAAACTAAATTTGTACTAATCTTTTACTATAAGTTTTTTTTTTTTTAAGGTTTGTAAGCAAATGGGTCCGAGCACACGTCTTGTATTCTTTCTAGTTATCTGGGCAAAGGTTTAAAATTGTAATTCAATACAAGATAACTGTGTATTTATCTATATTTATGTATGTATAACGTAATCACATTGCTTCATGGGTATATGATACGAGCCTGGTCTTTTCATTAAATTCAAACATTACAAAATTTTAAGTCAAGTGATCTAAAACAAGAATCTTGCTCAATTTAAATTTTTATGAGAATATAATGGCAGCAAAATTTTTGGAGCACATAAAAGGAGCGGCACCATAGAACCAAGAGGAGTGGGAAAAGAGGAACATGGGTGTTGTAGCATTTGGAATTGGATAGAGTTTGGATACGATTAATTCCAATGATGCATACTACTCATTCTTATCCCTTATGCTTCAAATAATAAAGTTGCTAGTTTCACAAGCAAATTAAAAAGCACAATATCAAAGGATGTGTGACAAGCGAAAAATATACTCATTATATTTCATATCACATAATCGTAGAGAATTACCTGTCGAAGTAGTTAAATTACACAATACGCTGAGAAAGGCATCATCAAGAATCATTCTAGCAATTTAATAAAGCTCCAAATTGAATCATATATCCATATGCGGACACAGTGAGGGTATCAACGTGCATCTGCATTAGCCCAATTTTCATTTTTGCAGCAAACAAAAAGTCAATCTTCGTTTAATTCGAATATTGTCCAAATCACCATGTATAACGACCCCACCTATCTTTTTGAATTTACATAAAACTTGAAATAAAAGCCACCATCGGCGGCAGATCTATCACATTTCAAAAACTAACATCAAGAATAATTCAAAATATGAGTCAGAAACCTAAAAGTGTAAACCTGATAGTGAATCTTGCCAAACTCCAAAATTTAATTCAATTTTTCTCAAAAGCAACTAGACAAAAAAAGAAAAAAACCCTGGAAAGCGGGGTTTCAGGCATTTGAAATAGTCTGTTTAAAATTCCAAGATTAAAGATAGTTATTAATATATTTTTTTATATTTAACTCTTAAAATGAAAAGAGGGTTTTGCAATAGTGTAGTAAAAACCATGGCGAGAGAGGAAGTAGCAGTAGTAAAAAAGATGGTAGCTTATTGAATGATATAAGATTATATGAAATAGGGTATGGTAATGGTATGCATGAAATGGTGATGGTGAATGAATTTAAGACTGGGGAAGAGTGGACAAATGGCAGGTGGATTATGCAAACAAAAACACGGACAATTGTCTCCAACCACTGGGCCATTGTTCCAGTTGTTCTCAAATTGAACCTCTCTCTCTCTGTCTCTCTCATATTTTCATACATTATTATTATTTATTTATTTTGAAAATTGAAATTTGGGAGTGCCTCAAAAGGACCCTGAAACCTTAATAAAAGCAGATTGTCTTCAACATTCTATGCTCCAACTCCCCACTCCAAAGTACTCTCTCTCTCTAAATCCTTTGATTTCTTTGTTGGGTCACTTGGGCCTGCAAAACCAGCAACCGCTTCAAGCCTCATTCATTATTAAACCTTTCCCAGCCATAACCCTCACTCTTCACAGCGCTTCTTTATTCTCTTCGCCTATTAACGCTACCATGGCTAAACCCCTCTCTGGCGCAGACCACCGCCTTCTGCCGCACTTCCTCTCTGACGCCGATTTGGCCTTCCCCTCTGAGTTCCCTTACGAGTTCGGCGTCTCTTCTCCGGCGGTGGAGTCGGTGGCGGGCTCCACCGAGACAGAGAGCAGCGACGAGGAAGAGGACTTCTTCGCGGGTCTGAATCGGCGACTCAGTCAGTCATCGCTTCACGAAACTCGGAAGCAGCTCGTCGCTGTACCCATCAAAGCCGAAACCGCCGACACACTTACTAAGATTTCGGCAAAGGCTTTGGGTTTGGCACTGTCGCCTCAGTCAACGCTGAGTGGAATCGGAAGCTGGTCAGGTAGGAGCGGCGTCTCCGGCGACGGAAGTCCAAACGGGTTCTCTCGCGTACCCTCGCCCTCGACGACGTCGTTTTGTGAAAGCGACCCCTGGGAAGTTATCTACGCAGCTGCCGGACAAGTGGCAAGGTTGAAGATAAACAACCAAGTTTCACAGTTCGATTTCCAGAACAATAGAGGCTTATTAAGCCAAGTTCGCACTAACCAGAGCTTCAACCAGGTTAGTTCAGCTTGTTCAAGCTAAGCCATTGGTTTTTATTTTTATTTATTTTCTTTTTCTGATTTTTATTCGCGTTGTTGGCTTTGCAGGTTCAGCAACCTATGAGACAGAAGCAACAGGGTGGTTCGGTTTGGGGGAAACAAGTTAACCCGAACCGTTTGGTGGCTCAGCAGCAACAACTACATGTTCAGAACGGAGGGCGTGAGTATGGTTATGAGAGCGTGAAATGCACGCGTTCTTTGTCTTCTCCTCATTCTGCGTGGCCTTCTGTGCAACTTCAGCAACAAAACAATCGGGTACAGTATAACGGATCCGGTTCACGGGTTGGAGTTCCGGGTAGGCCTTCTGTGAAAAAAGGGTGTGGCGGAACTGGAGTGTTCTTGCCTCGCCATTATGACACTCCTTCTGAGCCTCGCATGAAAACTGGTTAGTTAGTGATCCTGTTTTTTATTTCTCCCTTTTTCCCTGAAGTTGTGTTTGTTGTCTTGTTCGATTTTGTCTTACGGTGTTGTCTTGTTTTTAGGTTGTGCTCCTGTTCTGTTACCGGCTAAGGTGGTTCATGCTTTGAACGCCGCTTCTCAAACGCACTTCTCCAATGCCTTACCTACGGATTATGGTGAGTGGGTTTTTCAGTTTAAGTCTCTTAGGAGACTAGTGAAGTTTTGGCATGACTACTGAATTTACTTGTGTTGTGTGGTTATTTTGGTTTCAGATGCCTTGTTAGCAAGGAGAAACGCGCTTCTCATGCAGCAGAGGCTAAGCGTGCGGCGGGAAGAGCCAACAAACTACGAAATTCGCCTACCTCAAGAGTGGACTTACTGATTCTATTGACTGTTGAAACTAAAGGCTTAATGTTCTCCAAGCAATGCTTCCTTGGAGAAAATATTAGTTGTTTGTTTTGGTTTTTTTACTAAAGATGAAATTCAAGAATGTGTTTGGCTAGTTTAGTTGCAATAAAATATCCAGTTTTTCCAGGAAGAAAGTTGCAGCTGTTGGGGGTCTGGTTTTAAGTTGAAATAGTGAAAAGGATGTAGTTTAGACAAAGCTTGTTTTTCTTTTACTTTTTTCCCCTTTTATATTATTATTAGTTGTAATTGTAATAATAAGATATAGAGCAGGTCATTTTCTTTTGCATCGTTATGGTTATTGATGATACTGATGGGCTAAAGCGCGAGGTATGGTTCAACATTGGCAAAGTTTCAAGTCAAGCTAGGACGAAAAGTGTTGAAAGATTAGTTGATTACCCATGTGAAAATCCTTGCTTTTTATGGTATATAGTATGTAATAAGTTAATACTATATGTAATAAAAGTAGCTCTTTTATGTAATTTGCCATTTACTATTCATGGAAAAATTTCCACTTCATTCTTTGTTTTGCTTTGTGGTTGTGAATCGAAAATTAAAAGGGGTTTTCACTGAGATGGGTCACCTCCCATCTTTGGTATTTATGCTCAACCGGCAAGGGCCAGTTGATGTGTCCATGACTCTTTGAGATATTTTTTCCTCCAATGTTATTTTCCATGAATTATCCGTTTAATTTAATATTTTTACTTGAATGAATAATAATAATGAGAGTAGAGTGGGAGGGTTGAGGGAGAAATAATAGATGTGTATTGCTTGCTAAGTTAGGCGTTGAATTTGATTGAAGGAAATGGATGGTGGGGGGATATAAGAAGAGAGGGAATGGGATATGCATTATGGGGATGGATTTATGCGTACGTTTTTTGGTTGGATTTTGATGGGTACTATGGGCCCATTGTCTCAATTCTCAACCTAGTCGGTGGGGCCCATCTATATCTGTTACTGCCCTCTTCTATCTGTATCTCCCGCCTTTATTTTTTTCCTTAAACAAGCAAATAACGAAGACATCATTGAAGGTTGTGATTTGTGATTTTGACTTGGTCAAACCTTCTATCATACTGCTATAAATTATTATTTCATTTTTAACCTTTTTTAATTCAATTTTTTTTGGGTTCACGTGCCCTGTTCCCTTCCCCCCCTCATCCCTAGCAATACCATTATTTTATTTTACAAGTGCGGTGAGGGTAGTTTTAGACATGCGAAGTTTAATATTTAAAAGTGACTATAGGGGTATTGAAAGTTATCTTATTTCTTTGCTACTTAAGGTCCTAATATCTGGTTTTGATGATAAATAAATTTAACAATGCAGAAGTGATTTTTCACTTTAAGTTGGGAATGTAAACTGTAGTCTTTTTATCATATGGGAGATTAATTTCGCTAAATAAACTAAAGTCTTGTTCATCCCAGAAAAAGTTGAATATTCAAGAATTTAGGTTGTCACTCCAGGTTAGAAAATTTGCAGTGCTTACTTGGATTTGCCTTTCTTTAACTCTTTTAAAATATTTAATTATTTATAAATATAATTATACTTTTATTATGAATTTGAAAATTAATTTACCAAAATTCAAAATAATCGGAGGCAGAAAATAATGTTTGCTGCATAATTTATTCTGGGCTCATCAAGTCGACGTGTCTGGTGGAACTCAGGAAAGTTCCTAAACAATTAGAAACTAAAGTTTTGTTCGAATATATATAGTTGACGAATTTTCTTGCACAAATTTGAGCATAACGTAAATTTCTTGATATTTTCATTAAGATTTTGTTATGCAATAAGTATTATAGCTGTCTTAATACATTTGATTATTAATGTTATAATCATAGTGATAGAGTGGGAGTGGACTACAGCTATAAAGTTGTTGACGTAGAAGATTAAAATAGGTGCAATGAGATGGTACTCGATTAGGGATGGTGTGTGCATGTGATGGAGTGTACGGTGCAGCTTCATTCATTTGGTTTATGCAACATAACAAACGCATCGCATAAGCTCTACCCTAAGTCACGTGTGGCTACATCAGACAACAATAACGCCCAATTAATAATTTTATTTATAGGTCTTTGATTCAGACATGTTTCACCGTTCACCCTTTGTTTGTAAGAACCATTTGGAAACTTGATTTGATTTGGTTTTAGGCCCAATTTCAAATGAGAATTCTAGGATCCAAGGAAATTTGTCAGCTTCAGACAGTTGAAACTTTAGTGTATTTAATTTATACTCTGTTTGGCTTAATTGGAAAATCTCAATGATGCTCACTCGTGTCGTATGCTAGGCTTTAGGGAACGGTCAGTAAAAAACAGTTAAAGAACAAATAGGTATCGGTGGGGAAAATGAATGCCATAAATTCGTTTGTTTTGTTTGGTTATTGCATTGTTAATCAAAGGGACTAGATGGTGTGTTAGATTTGTCCCTAATAAGCAACAAATTCCTGTCTCCGTTAAAAGTCAATAATTGCTATTGAAGCAAGTTGCTATAAGTGTATGCTCACCTATTAAATACATGAAAATTTAGTTAATTTTATTTTAGCTCGATAAGAACTGTAAAAATCTCTTTTTTAATGTTTAATATAGTTGTATTCATTAAAATTTAAATTTGAGATTACAAGTAACATTTTCAAAATATGTGTGTGCGTGTGTGATTTTCAGCCAATTATTGATTGGCCCTTTATTGATAAAGCTCTCCATTTGGCTTTCCTAGGGGTGAAGAGCTCCTATTCGAAGAAAGAAAACAAATTGATGAAGGCTATGTGGTTTTCAATCCCTCAATTATATGGCTTAGGCTTTGCTCACAAGTAGCAATATATGAAGCAAAGCCTGCAAATAATGTAAGGTAACATGCTACAAGAGATGGGTTGTCAACACGTGGATGGTCACAGTGGTGTTAGAAGTTGCTGTGACATCATCATGGGGTTACCATTTTTTTAGTTCTTTTTTCTTTTTCTATAATTTGCTTTCCATTGGATGGATAGGGCTGAGAGCTACTTATTTTGTGGCCCATGTCTAGCCGTCAATCACGTTATTATGGGTCCATTCTGGATCCAGATCTTTTTTCTTGGTCCATTGTATTTTTATACCCTTTTTTATCTTTCTATGCTACGTACAAAGTAACGACTCTTCCCACCGGAAAACGGGGAAAAAAAATATGACATGTTTACGTACGAATTAATTATACTGTATACACTTTGTCATCAATAATTAAAATTTGACGTTAATAATGTGAAAAACAAAAACTATTAGATATAAACTTTGTAACACGCTCTGTATTCCATGACCCTCAGAGTAATAATAATAAAATTTAAAGAAATAGTTATTATAAAACATTTACTAATATTAGTATATTAAATATCATAATTTTTAATGAAACTTTATATTTATTAAAAAAATTTAACTATAAAACACAAGTAAAACTTTTTTAATTGCAATATAAAAATTATGTTAGTTTTGACCAATTATTTGATTTGATTTTTCTAAAGGTTTGACCTCCTTTTTCATCTTTGTTTAAAAGATTACCTCTGCCATTATTGTAACCTCTTCAATAATTAAAATAATTTCAGTTATTTTTACTCTATGCAAAACTTATTTGATCACGTAAATAAATTTTTGTTTCTTTATCTTCTTAAGAAGTTTTTTTCTGGTTTAAAAGGGAACGAAATGCTCAAATTTATCACATTCTAAATAGGACAAATCGATTTTATATTTCTAGTTTTATTTTAAACTTGGAAGACATTTTAAAATGTTCGATCCTTAGATTATGATGGATAGCAGCCAAATCGTGTAAATATTCGTGCTTTGGATTACACACTAAATTAACAACAAAGACGCTTAATGTGTGTGATTCATTCATGTGCATGTGGTTACTATAAGATTGGTTCTATAATTCGATGCACGACCATCCCTCTATTAATGATTGATCTGAGTGATTTGTCACAACCAAAGTCCTTCCAATAATTTTATGCCCATATACATCTACTAATAATTTGTTAGTGTTATGCATGCTCATCTGACCTTATCACTGACCGCCGTGCAAAGTTAATCATTGGCCGCTAACAATCTATTAAAAATCCAAAAGGTAATCACATTAATTTCTGGCTTTTTTCAATTTTGATAAATCTAGTGTTCTACCCTTTTTATTTTGGATGTTAATTATAAATATAAATGCTTAATGGGCTATGATTAAGGGACCGTAGATGAATAGAAAAATAAATAAAGATAAGATGCAAAAGTATAACTTCTTATCTGTTTAATATATATCAGAATAGTAAAACAGACGTGTACATAGACATTGATTTTGTTGATTTTGCTGTGAGCTACCACTGAGATTGCAGAGTTGATATGGAACGATGATGCATTATTTAATCTCAAATCCTTATATTTTTACCTTGAGAAGAAAAGGAAAAACCTTAACTTGAACCAAGTAAAACTTTTTACTGACACATTTATAGTTTTTAATTTGTTTAAGCGTTAAAGGCATTTATTTTTATATTGGTCTTTCTGTGATTGCGAATACCGAATCAACTTAGAGTTGTCATTTCCTAACTTTATTTTTTGGTCAAGAGTCATTTCGGAACCTAAGGAGAGCATCTTGCAGTTTTTTCAGCAGACTGTATCGAGACAACATGAGGCCCATCATGCAACAAACAATCCCATGAATTAAGGTTTGAATTGATGAGTTCATTTATATTAATCAGATACATACATGGCTGCAATAGAGTTAGATATAATAACAACAACTAACCTTAAAACAAAAAAGAATGAGTGAATAACAACTAAGCTAACGCTCCTAGTCCTACAAGAATATGCTAGAAAATCTTCGAAAAATGCTAATATACAGTGCACTTAAATAATTCTGAATGCGATTCAATATAATTGTTAAATTACTTTTTGAATAAACATCTAATTTAGTCTTAAAAATATTTTCTAGAAAAGCTCACTAAATAGTTTTTAGAAATTCTGTTTAAGACATGCTAGTCCAAATTATATTGAATGCTATTCAATATAATTGTTTGCTAGCTCATTTTTCTCAAATTCCTTACAAATTTTAAAATTATAAAACATCAACCATATATTTTTACTTTGCATTAAAGGACATTGTTATAGAACGACACATCTTCGGTTGAATTCACCACGCTTGAGGTGTGTGTTATAATTTTAAAGTCAATTGCAAAACTACTTTTGTATAGTGATTCGTATATATCTGCATGAATCACATAATCCAAAATTTAGCTTTCGTATAAACTTGGGAACCACAACAAAAGCATACCTCTAATGTGATAGATTTCACAATTAACACTTCTTTTAATAGCAACGACTTTAACTATGATTTTGAGAGGTTGATATTATGTAGTTTTAGTGTTTGAATAGAACTTGGATAAAAAACGAGTGGGATAACATTGAGGATTTTGAATTAGAAAAATGGTTTACAGGCCAATGTCGTAGTAGATTGGGACAGAATGTAGTTTTTTGTGATTTTTATAGAAATAGAAACGGCATGGTTTGGTGTTAAAAGAAATTTATAAGTTGTTTTTATAAGGTAGAAATTATTGGTGTCATATTAATTAATCCCGTATTTATGTATGTACTTCCTTGAAGTTTTGTTTTGTTTTTTTTTGTCGTCTCAGTACTTCCATTAAGTTAAACAAGATATTTTTAATAGAGAGATTAATGTGTTTTCCAGATGAAATTTGAAGAATTTTTAGACACTAAATTATGTCTAATGTTCGTTCTTAAAGGCGTAATTAAATGTTCACTCTTAATTTTAAAAAGTTAAGATGACTTCTAAATTATAAAACTGCATCTAAAATTTCTCAAAAGAGCAATAGGGTATAGATCCCGCGGTAGGTTTGTCTGAGAATAACACACATCAACTATAGATCTAGCCCAATTATGTATGGACCTCACAAAGTAGTCAATCATGAATTTTGCTTGTGTTTTATTTTTTGGTCATATGAGTAGATGACCTTAAAGATGATAATACAATCAGCATGGGTTGTGATTTGTTATAATCTTTACGATTTAAAGTAAGTTTACAAATTGATATATGTAACCCAACTAATATAAAACAACAAGTTAAATGAATTGACCTCAAACAAATACTTAAAAGATAAGTGTACTGTTCCATAGGAAGTTATTTTATAAATTGAATATCCTTTTTGGTTATTTCAAGCCAGTGAGAATCAAGTAATACTTCAATAAGTTAACAGCCACAAAAAACCATCACTGGTAATTTTAGTTTGTAAAATGTACCATGTTTTCAAGCAATGATGAAAAACATTTCAATACCTTTTCATGGAACACAGTTGGGGAGTTGAGAGATTCAAACTGTTAAGCTCTGTGAGCTTCAATTGCAACTGATTCCAACGACGAAATGTAAGTAACCAAGGCTTCCAAAGAAGAGTAAGAGGAACCCCCTTGTTTCATGCAAAGTTTTGCCACTTCCTTCAATTTTGAGGCTCTATCTCTCATCTCCTTCTCTTCAACATTGGCTTTCATCAATCTTCTTATGGTCTTCTCTACTTCCCCTCTCTCCACTCCTTTCTCTAATTGTAAGCCAACCCTCCAAACATGGCTCACATACCTAGCATTCACCTTTTGATCTGTGAGACATGGCATGCATATCATAGGAACCCCTTCACAAATACTTTCTAACGTTGAATTCCAACCGTTGTGAGTCCAAAATGCACCTATTGCTTGGTGGGCCAACACTTCTTGCTGAGGGGCCCATTTCACTATGTGGCCTCTACCCTCCAAATTCTCCATGAACCCACTTGGCAATGGCTCAAGCCATTCCGAGCCACTGATCAGTCCTCGTCTAACGACCCACAAAAATGGGTGCTTGCTATTGGCTAAGCCCCAAGCTATCTCTAAGAACTCTCTCTCATTTATTGCAACAATACTCCCAAAACTCACATAGATCACAGAGTTGGGTTTGTGTTTGTCTAACCAAGAAATACAACTTCGGTCTTGTGATATTAAGCTGCTAGAAGAAGAGGTAGTAGGAAAGTACTCGTGAAATGGGCCTATTGGGAACATTGGGATGGAAAATTCTTGGCTCAGTGTTGCCAGAGCTGATGATTCTAATTCTTCAAAAGAGTTCCAAATCACTCCCATTGAGGCTTTGGTTTCGTTGACCAATTTGCATAACAATTCATAGTACTTCTCTGGCTCCTTTGTGTTAATCATAGGTAAGTCTTTCACTCTCAATGGTGGTAGCTCTTCCAATGCCTCCTCCAATTTAGATTCTTTGTGCAATATGCAAAAATGAAATAAATAAGTTAATAGTGTTGTGTTAGATCGTAATTCTGTGATTTTCTTAACATTCTCCTGACATTCATCCATTTTGCTGAAGTTTTACAAAATTTTCAACGAGTAAGAAAAAAGAAGAAAAGACTTCGTGCAACTTGTTAGAAGATTTTGCAAAATATAAATAAAGTATACTACATCAACACGAAATATGATAAGTTTAAAAAAATATAAAACAATACATGGTGATATTTTTAAGAACAAGTATAAAATTGACATAAAATAGACATGTTATATTAAAAGAGAGAATTGATATTTTTAAGAATAAGTATGCATCATCGTAAGAATCATAAAAATGTTATATAATTTATATAGTTCTTTACAATTTTATCTATATTAGCATAAAAGTTTCAAAACTTGAGAAAATACAGAATACGGAAGAAGTGTAATAAAACTCCATGACTAATGAACCGAACTCGATTGTGCAACTGTTTCGCCATTTATGCAATCTATCCAGTCTCAATCAGTTTGAACTGTCTCAAAACTGGGTTTCACTGGACGCTTGGTTTGATAACAGCAACGGATTTTCCAAAGTGTTAAGAAAAAACTTACTAGTGAGATTTAAACATGTTTAATTTCTCAAAATATATTAAATTTTGATTTATGCTCCGTAAACTTCTTTTTTCTTTTGTTTCTAGCTTTGCATTTTCAAAATTATTGATTCTAATTTATTTTACTTATTTGACTTCTTAAAAGATGATGTGTTATAAGCATTGACAACCGACAACATTTAAGTTACCCAAGTTATTATTTAGTGACTAAAAATTAAAATAATACACACACATATATATATACGCCCGACATTATGATTTATTATACTGACTAAATTTTTTGTTAGCTAAATTAGTAAAGAAACTTCATAATTGGGAGCATACTTACTAAAGCCCTTTCAAAGCTAAAATAGAAAAACAAACCTTGAATAGGTATGTAACCTTTTTCTCTCAATAATGGAAAGGCAGCAAAAGCAACAAAGGATGACACACCACCAGTTCTCAACACAATCCTTGGGAGCTTAAGGGTGTTGGCAATGGCTTGAGTGAAGTAACACAAAGCATCTGATATCAAACATGCAATAGGTTCCTCATCAACAGATAAATCACAAAGTAGCTTTGTCAAGCACTCCTTGAAAGGTGTTACACATTTAATGTTGAGTGCAATGATGAAGTCCAAGAGATTGGAAGAAGAGGATTCTGTCTGAGACAAACCATCTTGGATGCAACAAAAGCTGAAGTAGGGGTAGTTTGAAGGGTTAAGGGAATTGAAAGTTGTGTGGATTATGGTTATGGAAAAACCATTAGAGTGAAGGATGTGTGCAAGCTGAAGCATTGGGTTTATGTGCCCTTGGAGTGGCAAAGGGATAAGCAACAATCTAAGGTTCTTTCTTTGCTCCATGGATGTGTCAGAGTTTATCCTTACTTAGTGAGAGGTATTTTTCTGGCTCAATGCTAGAAGTCTCTTTCAAAAATCTTGAAAATTTTAAGGTGCCATTAAATACTAACAATAATAATGTTATAAATGTTGATTATTAATTTATTTTCTTTATTTATGTTCATGAATGTTATGTTTATGCAATACTTATTAACTTTGCAGTCAAGCATAAAGTTATTATTTAAAAAAATAACCAGTTTTGTTAACCTTATTTTTTAAGATTGAGATTAAATATATAAAAATAATAAATTTTGTTAAAAAATTAACATATTTATCATATTAAAATAAAATTATAAAATTGATATATATATATATATATCATATGAGTATTAATTGCTTAATTTTAATATTAAAAGTTTAAGTTAATATTTTTAAAAATAATTTATCGAAAAATAATGATAAATGTAATGCTAAAATGGAATTAAATTAAATATTTAAATCAAACAAAAAGGATAAATTATAAAAACTTAACGATTTTGCTACCCATTTTTTTTTTTATCGTATCATACATAATGATTTTATCATAAAATAAGAGTTTTCGGTGAGTTTATTTTTTATACATGAAATTTTGAGTGTATACATATATATATATATATATATGTATGTATATATAAATACGATGCTTAGTAATTTTTATTATAAATACTAATAAAAATAAAAAAATTGGTAATGATGATTTTTTAAATATTTAAAAGTTATAAAAAGTTAAAACTCGTTATAATAATTTTTAAAACATTATTAAAAAATGTAACTGATACAAAAATTGTCAGTAAAATATTTAAAGAATTTATATATAATTTTTTAAAAAATACAATATTTTGATTTTTTTATTTTTCTCATTAAAAAAAACAAAAGCCTTCTCAGTGGCGCGTTTGACGAGGAAGGGACCGTATCCATTGTTTGCTAATTGCTAGTTATTGAACAGTCCGTCTCTGCAGGACCACATAACATGTCAGTACATTAATGAAAACGAAAAATCCTAGAAAATTATTAAAAATACTATATATAAATTTTTAATGCATTTTTATAAAAATTCTTTAATCAATATTTTAACAATATCAAACTCAATGCAGTAAATTATAAAGAACTAAGAGGTTTTTTTTACATGTCAAATTTTAAAAAGGTTATTTTTATTTATTTATTTGTCAATTTTAAAATTTGACAAATAATATTAATTGGAGAGGGAATGAATTTTAGTAATTATTTTTAATAATTTAAATAATGTAATTTTCATTTAACTATTAAATTATAATTATATATCATCTTAATTATTTGCATCAAAATTTATTAAATTAAGTAACTATAAAATTATTTTTATTTTCATATATTTTCAATATATACATACATACATATACATATATATATATATATATATATATATTATGTAAATTAAATGTACATGAACAGAATATTAAATAATTTTGAATTAATTCAAATCTTACAAACATAATTTATATAATAATTTTTTAATTTAATGATTCATTTTAGAATACTTTTTTTAATAAAAAATATTAAATATTATAATTATTGATATAATTTTGCTAATATATTTAATCTCTTATATTAATTCATTTTTTCATTATATTTTAATAAATATTTATAGATATATAATAAGAACTTAACTATAATAATAATTTTTATGAAAAAAAACGAATAATGGATTTAATTTGTAATTTTTAATCATCTTAACATAATTGTTAATAAAATTTTATTATTTTTATTTTTAACTAGCACCGGTAGGACATTGATAAATAAAACAATTTCTTCTTGTGTGAACTTTTTTCACATATTAAAAAAATATTATATCATTTAAAACTTTAATTTCAAATTAAAATATTTATTTAATTAAAAGATGCAAAATGTAATAAGGAATTAAACAACTGTGTTAATAAAAATAAAATATTACATTCATTTCTTAATTCTTATGTTAAAACGATTGATAAACATTTCAAACAAAAATTTGCTTAGCACAGAAGATTGGTTGCTTAGCTCTGCCACTCCCCCAAAGACAAATCCAAATAGCATTTAGTCCTCATTGAAGGAGTCAGCGGAGAGATAAAGGCGTAAAGATTTAAAACACTGAAATCAAATTCAAAGGTAAAAAAGTTGAATCCAACTTGATGCTTCTATCAGATCAGATCACTACTGCTATATTTCCTCCAACACCTCTTTCCTTTGTAATCAACAATCTTAATTTAGTACTTGGACAAAGGAACACTAAAATCATCGAAAACATCGTGTGACGTAGGAGCGTGAAGAATGGAGCAGACACAGAGAGGCAAAGGACACACGTTGGTGCTGATGCCATCACCATTACAAGGCCACATAACCCCATTACTCCACCTTGCTGACATCCTCTACTCAAAGGGTTTCTCCATCACCGTTGTCCACACCATCTTTAACTCTCCTGACCCTTCTTCTTACCCTCACTTTACTTTCCATCCCATCGCCGATTCCTTGTCACAAACCGAAACTTCAAAGTTTGACGCCGTACACCTCACTGATCTCATTAACATCAGATGCCAACAACCTTTGAAGGAATGGCTGGCTACGTTGTTGTCTCAATCTCGTGTTGCTTGCTTCATATCCGATGCTGCCCTTCATTTCACTCAAGCTGTTTGCGATCACTTTCAGCTTCCACGCCTTATTCTCAGAACTGGTGGAGCTTCTTCCTTCCTTGTTTTTGCCTCCTTTCCACTCCTTAAGGAGAAAGGTTACCTCCCCGTTCAAGGTTTGTTTTCCATGCCCTTTTCAATCAACATAGTTGGTTCCAAATTCCAAAATGATATGCTTTACATTTCTGTTTCTGATCACAGAATTCCCGTCAAAACATTATTTTTTAGGGACTGCTTTAGGTCTCTTTTCTTCGGTTTTAATTAAGATTGTGCTAATTTATCAACTTTTACTGAAATAATAGATTTTTTCTAAAAATTACAATAAAAATAAAAAACTTTACCTTCCATCTAAAGATTTTTTTTTTTTTTTGGGTTGTTGGGTTCTGTCATTGTTTGGAATTGTTCTTTCATTTGTGTGTTTGGATTCAAGTGTGATTGACTAGGGATACATGTTTACTTTGATGCTACTAGTTGTAGCTGCTTAGTTAACATGATTTTAAAACGTGCTTAATGGTGATTCCAACATGCTAAATGTGTCATTTTGCTTGTGTGATTTATTTTCTTTTCAAAGTGCAAATTGAAGCACATGGCTTGAGATGAAAGGGCCTTGAAATTTCATATTTGCTTTTGTTGAAAATCCAGAATCTCGATTGGAAGAGCCTGTGGTGGATCTTCCACCTCTCAAAGTGAAAGACCTTCCTGTGTTTAAAAGTAGTACTCAAGATCCTGACGCATTCTATAGACTAGTTTGTCGCTTTATTGAGGAATTCAAGGCATCTTCAGGGGTAATTTGGAACACCTTTGAAGAGTTGGAATCATCTGCACTGGTAAAAGTGCGCCAAGAATTTTCCATACCAATGTACCCAATAGGCCCTTTTCACAAACATTTCCTTACAGGCTCAGCTTCTTCTACAAGCATATTGACCCCAGACACAAGCTGCATGTCTTGGTTAGATACACAGGAACATAACAGTGTTGTTTATGTCAGTTTTGGGAGTATTGCAGCAATTAGTGAGGCTGAGTTCTTGGAGGTAGCTTGGGGGTTAGCCAACAGCAAACAACCATTCTTGTGGGTGATTCGACCTGGGTTAGTCCGTGGTTTCGAATGGCTTGAACCATTGCCAACTGGGTTCCTAGAGAATTTGGGAGGAAGAGGCTACATTGTCAAATGGGCTCCTCAAGGACAAGTGCTGAGCCATCCTGCAGTGGGAGCATTTTGGACTCATAATGGTTGGAACTCAACTTTGGAGAGCATATGTGAAGGGGTTCCAATGATTTGTATGCCATGTTTTGCAGACCAAAAGGTTAATGCCAAATATGCAAGTGATGTTTGGAAGGTTGGGGTGCAATTACAGAATAATTTAGAGAGGGGAGAGATAGAGAAGACAATTAAAAATCTAATGGTTATGGATGAAATGAACGAGATTAGAGAGAATACCTTAAACTTGAAGGAAAAGGCAAGGGCTTGTTTGAAAGAAGGAGGTTCATCTTACTGTTTCCTTGATAGCTTGGTTAGTGACATATTGTCCCTGGAATCTTCAAAAAGTTGAGCTCACTGAATTCTCTAACAACAATCAATCACATTTAGTGCAAAAAATAACTCAAAATATATGAAGCAAAATAATTGGAGGAAATGCGAGTTGTTATCATTTTTAGTTTGATCAAATGCTCATATAGAATATGAATGTCAGCAATCATTTGTCTTACCTTGTCTACAATATAATTATATTTTGCTAACGTATGGCTCTTCACTTTGCTCAGTTCACATGTATTGTTTATTTTTGCATATATTCACTTAAATGGTGAGTTTCTGCTATAAATAATTTCTGTAAGGCTGTAACTCTGCATTTATTATATTGATTTTAAATTTGTATCTAATCTTTTGAGCTTCTTCCCTCTTGCTTCTAAGTCCTACATTCCAATTGTTTTCATGCATTTATTTTAAACTTGGCCGGACTTGAGCCATTTTGATGTAAACTACACTTAGGTAGGATAAAGAACATGACCACTAGGCATGCAATTGACTAGTGAAAAAATAGTATTATGCTACACTGCATCTACTTAAGGCATGCTTAGGATGGAAGGGCTGAAGAGAAACGCATCTAAGGAAATGCAAATTATATTTCAGTTGAGGCACTGCATTAATCCCCACTTACATATCAAGTTCAATATCTCACATGAGTGTGCTTGGAATGAAGCCTATTTAAACGTTTATTCAATAATTTTTTTTTTCAAATGATCTCTTATGCTATAAATTTAATGATGAATTTTTTTAGATAAAATAAAATAATTTATTTTGATAAATTATACTAAGAAATTTGTCAAAATAAATTATAAAAATAGTTATAAGAATCATAAACTATGCATACACCTTTTGTTGAAGGAAAGTTCATAATTAAATGCTAACGTTGTCCTGCATTTATTGTTTCCCTCTGAGAACGGCTTGCACTATCTACCATATGTAGTTTGTCAAAGAGAGCAAAACTTAAGGTGCTTTTATTATTTCCCTGGACCAGAACAATAATTATGTAGAAGATGAAAGATTAATACACTGTCACTGTGACAGTGCAATAACGTTATTTTCTTGTAGTAACTTTTTGTTTTGGCTCATTATTGCAACATCCAGCGTGTAAACAAACCTATTTGCATCATAAATGCGAGGCATCGACAAAGTTGAACAGAGACAATAGGAAAATTTTGCTAGAAAAGAAAAGGCAAGCGGCAAGTTCTAACTAGGCCACATAAACCCTTTGCTTCCAGTTGCAAACGTTCTTTTGTTAAAAGCTTTTCCATCAGCATAATTCACACTGAATTAAGTTCTCTCTACCCTTCAAATTACCCATTCTTCATTTTATCTTTTGTCCTTAATTAATTTTTGACTTTGTAAAAAGTATTCAATTTAATCTGTAATGCAAATAAAAGATGAGGTGAAAAAATAAAGTTAATGACTTTTTAATCAGGAATGGAATGAAAGTTTTTAAAAAAATTAAAGTGTTCAGCACTTATTATAATGTAAAAGGATTATTTTAGAGTTTACATCCAGGCCATTTTTGGAGAGTAAGGGTGGATTTAGAAGGCAAATACACCAGTCAAAAGACAGATAATGGGATCTAAGGCCCTCTATATTATTTTTAGTCCAATATAAATCCTCGTTTTTTGTTTGGCAAGCCTAAATAATCAATCATAGGCCCAAATTCTCACATAAATCAAAATTACAAGTAACGCTACCAATATTTCTTATTGAATATGTCTCATATAAGACTTAACTCCGTGAGACCAAAATATAAAAAGACTGAAACTTTTGGGTAGATATAACAACGAATTAAAAAACTGTCAAGATAGCAAAGTTAAATGTCATTTTGACATGTAATCTTATTGTAGACAAAATTACTTGGTAGTTTGTAGCGAGAAAGAAGTGAGAAATTCGGAAATAAGTTAATATTACAATTACAGCTCGACTACAAACTCGATCATGTACTAACTATTTACAAAAATGATGGAAAGAAAGCGAAGATTTACAAATCTTCATCGCTTTCGCTAGTACATGAATCATCCAAGTTCAGGGCTGCTACTTTGGAAGCACTAATCCTAAAAGAAGCCGAACGAATCTTGTAAGGTAACTTAGCATTATTGCTTGCAACCACCCCACCACACTCTGCTTCCCCTTCTTTCTCATGCTCTCTTCTCAAATCACTTGGAGGTAAAAAGCAATCTATGGACAACCCTTTAATGTTAAAGTCCACTTCTTCAACTTGCCAAACCTCTTCCATTCTTGTCCTAGAATGTGTCTCAGGACCCTCACCAAACCTGAACAAGGACACCCAAGTTTTGCCAGAGTGCGCTATTTGAATGCCATCTACGGTTTTATAGTCTTGTATAAGAGACTCCATGTTGGTTTCCCAATATATGCTTTCACTTTCATGAGACTTGAGTTTGAGTAGGTGAGAGTCTTCTAGTTGCACCAACAATCCTGTTCTTTGGCTGAAATAGCCCCACACCGTGTGGCGAACTATTTCTACGTTTGTGTTGCTTCTTGCGCGTAGTGTTGATGACTCCGCTTCGAGTCTCAATATGAAACAGTCTTCGTTATTCACTGTTTTTTCTCCAATGCATATAGAGTTGCTGAATAGATTAGCTGTGGACCGTGGATCAAGACCCTGTTCCAAAATCAAAATAATAATACTATTTATCATTTGTTATAATCCATATTCAAAATGTGAATGCTACTGCTGAAGTGTTTTGACATATAATACAAGAATCAAAGTTGCATATAATCATGTGTATGCCTTTTACACTACGTAGTTCTAGTATTTTTGAGGTTATTCGTCTACATTTTTCTTTCCTCTTTTTTGGCTACTAAAATCCAAAATGTAACTATGTAACTTGACTCACGCATGTGACTATGAAAATGGTTTTACGTGGAAATGGGATTTTAATGTTAGGTTTGGGAACGATACAATTTTGGAACCAATATATAGCTATATCAATTTGAGAGGTTAGTCAACGTATTCAACATTTCTCTTGGTACTATTTTATTATTTAGTGAACCTTTTGGTAAATTTTATTCAATAATTTATGCTTGCCCTTTATTAGTGGACTTGACTAAAAGATTCACTTAACAAAAAAAATTAAATAAAAAGAATGTTGTTAACATTTACGAACTTTTCTATTGGTGGTCAAAATTTATCTCCTACCAAACACCAAGGAAATTACAAATCCAATTGCCTCAAGACATAAGGGGCTTCAGGCAAAAGAATAAAACAGCTTATGAATGGATGAGAACAGGTTGTCACACACAGCTGAAAAATTAAGATATTGATGACTAGTCTTAATTGCAACAACTAACGAGGGAAAATTCCCCATTTGACTTTAAACTTAAAAAGGAAGAATTTGCTCGCGTTCCCCTCTTAGACTATTGACTTTACTTATTAAAATTTAAACCTTCAGGTTCTAGGAGGGGCTAAGGGGGCAAATTTCAATGCGAAAACAACGTGAAAGAAAATCAGCCTTTATCGTTTGCTAATTCTTTAGAAAAAGGGAAGCACACTATTGCGTGGGCTTTTTTATTTCGTTGTTGGCATATTTTGGTTTGGAAGACTGAAAAGCATTCAACCCCATATTTCTTCTCATGCCAAGTTGAACTAGACTATTTGAGGATTGGAAATGCAGCTACTTGAAAGAACGCAAGTTAAGAAAACCCGAAAAGGAAAAATATAAATAGCACTTAATAATGGTTAAGACTTCAAGGATCCTTTAGCTAGCACCCCACTTCACATACACTAGGCATAGGAAGCCAAGAGAGGCACTTACCCTATTACCACGAAAATCAGTGAAAAATGTACTCGAGTGGAATGATTCATTTTTTTTACCCCACCCATATTGTAATCATAATTAAGCATGCTCCATTGTGTCCCATAAAAACAAAGAATCACATATCATCAATTTAATTGCAATCATAATTAAACATGCCCTTTATGTCTCATTCAAACAATCCACCCTTTTAAAAAAATTGGTTTTGGAAAAGAACTTCTGCTAACCTGTAAGAAACGTCTGAGAGGTCTAGGTGGGCCGCGAGAAGCATGAGAATGATGCCAAGGGGTTTGTCTCCATGCCACTTTACCATCACTTCCAGCACTGATCTTGAACCCAGAAACCACCAACTCTAAGCACCACAATTCTGGCTTCTTTTGCCACACCACAAAACCCCCCATCTCTCCCTTCATTTGCAAGTTCTTCACCTTCATCACCTTCTTACTATTCACACTCCCTTCCCCTCCTGAAAACTCTGTGGTTGCCATTTTAACTTGCCCCATAGCATACATGCTATCCACAGAATTCAAAGCACGTTCTCCTCCTACTGCTGCTACATACTGTTTCACTATATATTTTGCCATTGAAACCTCCTGCACAAGCATACACCACACGTAAAAAAGTTAACAAACGTCAGAAAAACAAAACGGTCTCTTTGTTTTTTTTTTACTTTTTCAATATTATGATCATTTTCTATTGAAAAAAAGATGAAAAAAAATTAAATAGCCTTCTTTTTCAGTAAATTACTGACAATGTGTTGGTCTTTAATGCTGCGAGTGATGAGTTGGTTGTCAGAGGTGATAGGTGAAGGAATTAATGGCGCTCCAACAACACCTAACAAAAGCTGAATCTCTGTGTTCTTCCCTCCGAATACCGATGCCATGGATGCTGATGTTGACCTCGATTCAGCGTTTGGCTTCATCCAAGACTTCATGTTGTGCCAAGCTTTGGTGGTTCCACTCTTGGGGGTGAGAATCTCCTCTGGAATAGGCACCTCAAGCACCGTTTCAAGCCCATCCTCGCGATCAAGATTAGGACAAAGCTTCTTCATAGCAGAAAGAAGTGAATTAAGCGTGTGTTATGTTATGCACTTTTGATATAAAGACAGAGAGAGTTTGGAGATAAAAAGGATAGATAGATAAAAGGGTTGTAACTAGCTAGCTACAGCTTAGGATATGAGAAAGTAACGAGAAGGAAATGAAGTCTTGAATAGAAAGATAGATAGAAAAATGAAAGCAAGTTGTAGTATGAGTAGTATTGAGTATGAAACTTTGGAAAAGATTGCCAACCAAACTATGGAGGGACCCTCCTCTTTGTAACGTGGTCCGCTATGTCTATGTCGTGTTTGCACGCCTCTATTATTCACACTTAACACTAAATAAGGGACTTAAACTTGTGCTTTCCTCCTAATTTTAAATTGTTCTTGATGCTGACTGGTATATATCATTTCATTCATTAATTTCATGTTAATCTTTTTTTTAATTTCCTGTAAAGGGATATGTTATATTAGGTTGTCAATTTTGAACTGCAAAAGTTACTGGTTTATGTCACATTTTAGATATACTATCACTTTCTTCGTGCTTAACTTGATTTTCCTCAGTTGAGAGCTTGAGAAAAAATGAAACTCTTCAAATTCATACTTAGTTTGGTACGTGGGTAGTCTTTCACATCAATGTTTTTAGTTTACTTACCGTGATTATTCATGTTAATTTCCCATTAATTAATTTCCGGTTCAATTAATTTGTGTGTCTCAAGAAAGAGCGGGTCAAATCTGTTATCATTTTATTGAGTAATGAGATAAGATCAACAGTTTGATTCCGGTAGAATAGGATGGTTATCCACTCCATTTTCAAGCTTGATAACTTGAGAGTAACGGGGACTTCATAAAGTTTGAGTGATCCTTGCGAAACTTCTTAATTACTCAATCAGATGAGGTCGATTCCTACCTATTATTTCACATAAATGAAATATTTGCATATTAAATCATATGGGAATTATTTGAGAGGTACCAGTACCATAAATATTAGATTCGACTTTTCTTTTTCTAGTTGTACTTATTGCGCTAATGTTCTAAAGTTCAATAGAAACAAGGTGGTATCCGGTCTTGTTCACATAAATGTTCAGATAGCTATATTCTGTATTATTTGAGATAAAAATTAACACTAATTAAGATACTTTTTGCTTAGACAAATATATACCCAAATATATTAAGAAAAGGAAATTTGAGATAAAAATTATTTATATAGGTTAAATCTTCTTATTTTTTACTAACAGGGAAGCAAGTTGATTAACTAATAGAAAGTTGTACCCTGCGTATTAGACTGAAATTTTATATTTCTATTTTATATATCTTTTACAAGCATTTCCTCGTAAATAATCATAAACCAGATAAGATCATGCTTATCCATGATACACTCTAAATTAAAAACAAAAGAAAGAAAGAAGAGATGCATGTCCCATAACCACATAAGATGGTAAAATGCAACCAACATTCTAATTGTAATTGAATTAATCGAGGAGGGTAGCCCAAGGGCAGGAATTAGATACTGGTTAGGGACACATGAATGTATGAAGGAATGTCTTCAATGGGGGAGGGGGCACAGGCATGTGAGTTGTGTCCTGCTCCTGTTTCCAATCGAATTGAATAAAATTGCCCAATTGAAAAGCGACACATCTCTGGTGTGGCTGACGAGGATGTATTAACCGACAAATTAAGTTGTTGTCGTTTCCAATCATGCCATGCACGTTCTGTTGCTACCCTTTAATATTTGTTGGGGCTGGCGACGACGTAACAATCTTCTTGTCATAACTTCACAATTTTATTTGTTAAACGAAATGTTTTCTTTATTTACATTCTTTTCTTAAGGTTATCTGCTCCCCTATAAAATCTCCCTAGATTGCAAACACCCCCCAACACACGAAGCTATATCTATATACATAACAAATTATGAAGAATATATTTCAAAAGATCTTGTTTGCATCGTTTTCTTTTATTTTTTCACATATTAATGCTTGACATAATGAATAATTAAATTCAACATCTCTACAATTACATTAGCACTAGGTAAAATCATAATAATAGTGATATAATAATCTATATTACCTCTGTCTGTTTTTCTATTGTAGAAAGGTATTTTTTCTTTGATTTGGTTATAATTTCTTTTCATTAAAATGTCGTTATCATTTGATTAAACATAAGGTATAAATTGGTTGACTGTTTGCAGTTTAGAATCATCTTGAGAAAAAATTTGAGACTTTCCAAATTTGGGTAATTGTTAATTCAAACAAATTAAATTTATTTTATATTTGACTTAGTTGATAAAACTTAAATTGAATTCAATATAATATTTAATATTTTTTATATTAGAAGAATAAAATAAAAAATATCAAGATAATTTAAAAAATTTAAAATTACATATGTGATAATTCAAACTTCAGGTTCTGCTCGTGACTGTAGTTAATTTAAAATAAATCCTTTGAGGTCTGTAGTTAGACTTTTGTAATTTATTTTTTAATATAAAATAAAATTAAAAAGAAAAACATAAAAATACTATTATTATTGTTAAAAAAATTTATCTCGTTTGTGTCTAACTTACTTTTTCCTAAAATATTAAATAAAAATTATATTTAGTATCTTAAAAATATAAACATACTTTCTTCAACACAAATTTATAAAAATAAAAAATAATATTCAACAAATCATAAATTATCATTACCGTGCATTGTCCATATAATTATTACTACTTTTTCTATAATAAATTATGATTGAAAGCATCATTATCTATATCCATCAAACATTGCACTCTAAGCAATTTAAATTATTTTAAGATAACTTTAAAAAGAGAAAAGATATATATATGTGTGTGTATATATATATATATATATATATATATATTTCATAATGTTAAGCAATTGATCATGCCTGATAAAAAACAATTGATAATTTCTTATAAAAAATAGGTTTATATTTTAATTTCACAACGTTTTTATCAGTTAGTATATTATCGTTAACAAAAAGGATCTAGGTCTCCCCTTCACCCCATCTCATTGTCTCAACAAAACAAAGATTTATATACTATCAATATTAAAAACCAAATTATCAATAATATTTAAAAATGGAGTAGATTTAACTTAAGATCATCAAGTTTAAGAGGGGAGAAGGATTCGACATATTCTGATAGCTTCATATTAAAATTGGATAGATTTTAATGTCATATATAAAATATTTAACTAATTAATTGTAGTTTTTAAAATTGAATTCAAATGTTTAAAATGATAATTTTTATTTAAAAAATATTTTTTACATTAAATATTTTAATAAAATCCTAAAAATATATTAAATGTAAGTCTTAAATGCTAGTTCAAGGATAAAAATTTATCAAATCTTATAAAATAATTAACAATATTTCCAATTAATATCAAACATCTTAATCCTGATAAATAAAAAAGCCGATTCCGATGTTGCTGGGCACGGATTGATGAATCGAATCTCACTTCTGCCACATGTCAACAAATTTCTAAATAAAAAAGAAAAATGGTTTGAACATATAATTATATCATCTTATATTTATGCAATATGAGATTAAACTCAAAGTCTAAAACACATTATTATCATGATCATGATAGCAGTTAATGTCTAAGAAGGAATCAAGAAAGATCATTACATCATTTAAAAATATTTTAATTCGTCATTAGTATAAAAACTTTCATGCATACACTGATGATGTTATCGTTAACATAATCATATCAATACAAAAATTCAAGTTTACTAAGAAGAGATAAACTTTTTCAATGTGAGAATCTTGGTGATAGATAGAGTTGAGAGTTCAGTGGCATGTGTTTAACTTGATGAATTTGTCCACATGATACCCACAAGCGCTAATTTCGCTGATTAGTGGCAGCAACCATGCAATAGCTAACTTAAACTTCTTCCCACTAATTATTAATCATATGATTCCTTTTCGGTGTTATTAATCATAGGATTCTAATTGCTCACTTCACACTTAAGTAAACTAATTTTTTCTCATTTACATATCATACGCTATTTATATTTAATTTCATTTTAAAAGTTCCATTCCCCTTAACCTCTAAAAAATTTGGTTGGATTCAATGTTAATTAATTAAAATTTACTCATCATTGTTATTTTCTCCTGAAATTAAAGTTTAATGACTTGACGTACGCAGCATGGTGACCGACCCATCACATGGGAATCGTCCAGATAATGTCTTTTACGTTTCCTTGTTCTTTCTTCTTCTTTGGCTCTTTGCCTTAAATAAGTAATATTATTAGTATTCTTCGTTTTCTGCTACAAAACTTCCACAAATACACACCATTCCAATCTACTATCAGCCTATCACGTCGTCTACATGAGATTGAATGACAAAAGAAACAATGGGGGAAAATTTTAAGGAAGAAAATGTGAACATTTTTTTTTATGCGACAGCTATAATTGCCTTTGCGAAGAATTATCAAGAGCCATAAATTAATGGGAAGGAAAAAGTCCTACTCAATGTTTCGTATAATTACAAAAATGTCTTTGGACCTTTGGAGATGGTTTAAGGCTAATACTGTTCATGAAGTAGCTCTAGATTATGTATGTCATTACAAGTAATATTCTTCAACATTATGGGTTTGTTAATTTGGATTGAAAAATACAAGAGTGGAATCAAACATTATTATTAGTCATTACTTGAATTATTTTATGTATATATAATGGAATGATATCGATTTAATAGAATACATTTCATTTTATTTTATTATTAAATATTCCCATTTATCTCCCCTTAATTTTAGAGTATGAAACATAATTAATTATTTATTAATATCGTTTTTATCATCTCATTTACCTTTTACAATAATTTAGTATATTTTTTAATTTTATAAAACAAAATACATATTCACTAACATACTAACGAATCAATATATGGTTAATTATAACAAAGAATACGATAACAAATTTAAGTATAATAATAAATATAATATTTATAAGTTCATAAAATAATTCGTATTAAATAACTTTATTTAAATATATTTTAATGTTATATAATATCAAATATTTAGTTACACAATTTTTTATTATATTTAAAGAAAATACCTGATATATATCAATTTCTATTTTTTCAGAAATATTTGAAAAAAATAACGTGTTAAGTATGCTTTCAACAAATGTTTATTTTACATGTTGTAATACTCGTATTTTTATATTATTTAAATTATTTACTTCAAAGAATATTTATAAATAATTTATGATTAAGTTTAAAACATGAAGATGAAAAATTTTCAGAGTTTATTTTTAACTAAATTACATGGATAAATAATTAAATATATCTGTGCTTAAATAATTAAAGTAAATACTTTTATCAAATGAAAACAAAAAATCCTTGCAAAAACTAAAATATGAATCATAAAAATAAATATTCAATATTTTTATTGTGTAGCAACTTCTTAAAAATGAATAATTAGTCTGTCGAAGGATCGCAGAGGATACCAAACTATTGTATAACGAAGTTAATAATTAGTCTGTTGATGGAAAAGGCTTCGGCTCATTGTTCTTAACGACCAATGACATAAATAATGAGTTATGAACAAAATTGGTCCAATTCTCACGGTTGTGGTTGTGGTGTACCATCACTGGTTCACAGCTTTAAAATGCAGTTCTCTCTTCTTTTTCAAAAATGAAATTCTTGAAATTTCCAAACACATAAGTTAGATTAGGCCCCGTTCAATAAATCAAACCAATCAAGTTGGTCCAATTTTCTGAACAGTCTTAAATAATGAAATGTACATTGGTCCAAAAACATAATTATAATAATAATAGAATGTTCAGATAAAATAAAATAAAATTAATGAAATGTAAACTTTATCATATTTTTCGATAAAAAAATCATATCTTACAAAATAATAATAGTGATAACAATTTAATTGCTTTTATATCTTATGTCGCCCATAAATATCTAATCATAGCCTATGTTAACATTTCCATGTATAAGGATAAATAGTATCTGATTTTCACTTAAAAAGAAGTATGTCTAATCTATGATGTAGCCAGTTTTTCTAAAATAATTATTTTAAAAAATTCAAAACTTATGATATTAAAATATAATTAATTATTTTTAAAAATCCTAATTTTCATATGATCGAGGGGAGAAAAGTAGTGTGCGTGTGAGCATTGGGTTGTCATGAGAAACATTGATAACAAATAATAAATCATCACAAGCTTTTATGTAAAGACATTAACAACAAGAGAAGGAAAGAAAAGGAAAAATCTCCATATGGTTGCATCATTTCCTTAATATATTTAATATATATACTAAATACAGTCTGAAAATACCATTTTTTCCTCCACATTCATGTTTGTCTATCCATTCATACATTTTATCACATATAAATGTAGATATAAAAAACTCCAATCAAGCATAGAAAACATAGGAATTGATTTTGGTACCTGTGTTACGCTTGTCTAATAACCCTTAATCATCTTACCCTCTTCATCTTGAAGTTACATGATTTCATGAGGGCACATTGAAGTGAAAAAGCCAGGATATGACAAAAGCAAATACCATACATGCAAGAAGAAAATTCAAGAAGCGATGACCCTGCCAGAAATTTCGAGTTTCTGCAGCAGGGGCAGGTCCATTTGGTGGTATGGTGGATCCATCATTTGCTCCAGTCCATTCTTCTGTCATTTCAGCTTCAATTACACCAGCTACATTGTGTGCAATGGATCCACATATTTCACAAGTTCTGTTGATTGTTAACACCAAAAAAGAAAAATAAAAGCAGAAAAATTTATTAACAACTATTATTCATAAATACTCAAATATTGTCAACATCTATTTAGATTTAACACATCAACACTAAATATTTTTCTCCCTTTGGACTTCACCAATCATAAGCACATTCAAGATCTGTTTAAAATCATTGTACATGATTCACATTACTTCATTGGGTTAAGACTTAAGATCGCCTATGTGTAAGACCAACCAAAATCACTACCCAAGCATTTCAGCTAAGAGTTTCCAAGTTGCTTTTAATACCAACTCAACTTCACATGAATCGTTCTAAGGATGTATGATCGCAGAAATGACAGCATATGATCATTGACCTGCCTATCTACTGTCATTTCTTTCCATAAGGCATCCTTTCTACAAACAGTGACACAACAGTGGCTAAGGAAAAACATTTGAGACACACCGGAGGTTAAACACGTAAAAACTCGAGTTGTTTTGCAAACTAAAAGCTCAAAAAGATACCAATAGGATTGCCAAATGTACAAAGATGTCATTTTTTCACTGGTCCAACTTGCATTATTCAGGCTTAATATGTAACAGATAACAGAACAGTGTGCACAACTACAAAATGGCAAATAAAGAGAATAACAAGGAAATGTTAAAGCCACGTTCAATTTTCAGACCAGATCAATTCACAATTGGAATATGTACAATTTGACAGTTAGTGCAATAGTCCACATGCAATCCATCATAAAAGCACCTGCGATGAATAAACATTCACGTGCCTAAGCTGTTTTCTCCAAGAACCCATAAAGGGAAAGAGTCGCAAAAATATATCAAACACGATGTACAGTAAGGATTCCTGTACTGAATTTCCATCCCAGACCTTGGCTATTTATTCCTCTAGGCTCTCTTTTTTCCTCTCCAGGACACACCTAAAAGCTTAATTATAGTATTGAAGTTTTTTAATTTAGGGAACAGCCAGTGCAAGTCTAAAACAGAAGATTAAAAACGAGTGAAACTTTCATGAAACAGTATCACACATAAGTTCTACACGAATGATACACCAAAATCAACTTAGGACAAGAAATTTATACTATAATTTGATCATGCAAATTATCAAGGGAGGCTGAAAACAAATTATTTTTGTGCTTGTGTGAATGTGTCCAACATAGAAACTAAAACTACTACGATGAAGTACGCATAGATCCATGAACATTCAAACTTAAATACAAACATGTTAAGAAATTATACAAACAAGTTTATTGAAATAAGTTAAAAAGAACTTACAACAATCATAAACTATTTTCCTTAACATCTTCAAAAAGCATCCTTTTCTTACCCAGTGTGCAAGCAAAGAAAAAGCATCACAAACAATGCAATGCACTTACTTGTTACCCTTGATCTTGAACCAAGCCTCAGCACATTGTTTGTGGGCAGCAGCCAAATCATCTTTGCAAGAACATCCAAGCTCAATGGGAGCGGCAGATTCATGGTTATGGTTGGTCATATCCATGCTGAGATGGCAAATCCTGCAATCCCTTTCCACCTTAGCCAAATGCACCTTCACATCAGCTACCACTCTCACAATCTCGGAACACCTTTGCTGCTCGTCAGAACAACCATTGTCAATGTCAACCACGACATCAACTTCAGACTTGTCCTCTGCAACAAGCGACATTTTCAAAATCCAAGATGGGGATCTTCATGTCATGGCTGAGGAGACACTGATCATTAATACACATCCACCAAGGTTATGAAGAAAAAGTCGCCGTTTTTTTGCTGAGCCTTAGCAGAAGCAGCAGTGGCATCAAGCAACACGTTAACTCCTCTCTCTCTTCTCAGTGCATAATTGCTTTTCCCCTCCTCGTTTTATTCTGTTTCTATGTAAAAACTTATGCAAAATGTTTTCGTTCTTATTTTATTTTTATAAAATGGGTATATCTTTGAAATAAAAAAAATAGTATATAATATTATTTACAACATTGATTTAAAGCCTTTCAAATAAGGAAAGTCAAAACTTATCCATCTGTTCTCAAAGCTTTTTTTTTTATATTTTTCTACTTTATAAGTAAAATGAAATGAAAATAAAAAGACTGAAAAAACAGGAAGGTTTATGCAGACTTTTTTATTTTTTAATACTTTTTTTAAAATATAAATTAAAATAATATTATTTTAAAATTAATTTCTTGTTTGGAGATTTTTCGCTGTATTATTACAAGTTTCGTGTGTTGTAAAATACAATTTTTTTTATAATTTTGTATATTAAAATACTTTTGTATATTAAAATGATGAAATTTTTAAAAAATGACACATCAAAAGCAAATAAAAAAAACGAAACTTGTTTTTTTTTTTTTTATTAAAGTTTTGCATATGTTAACAGTGAAACTTAAGATAAGATGACAAACAAAAAAAAAGGAAAATTATTTTAAAAATATTTTAATAATTTTAAAAAATAAATATGCCGATTATGCGGTTACATGGAAGAACTTTGTGAGTCTGTGATTAGCAGATACCAAATCATTGACGCAACTTGCAAGAGAGCAGAAAATAAAGGTAAAAGGAAAAGTAAAGGTAAAAAGGACTCCAATTTCGTACCCAAAAAAGTTACCTGCACCACATTTTTCCTTCACGTTCTTTTTATTTAATTCACATATTTATAATTTTAACTACTTATATATTAAGTTTTTTAAATTATTAAAATCGTGCCTTTAATCTTAAAGTTTTATTTAAAATTAAAATTCAAGGGTAATAGTTTAGATGCTTTTAATTATTTTTTAACTAAAAAATGTACTTAAATCTATGAAGAAAAGTGATTTATTTTTTTAATGCTTATTTTCAAATTTGTTTTATTTTTTAAATTGATACCCTAAAAATACAGAATGACCTGGTCTTGAATTTTTAATATACCGGTAGAGACTAATTTGGCACGATGTAATTCTTGTTGAAGTTAATTATCAAAGTAATTTTAATAGTTGTAATTTATATTATTTCAATTTTTGAAATAAATAAATAAATTATTAATATTTAACATTAATAATCATTAATCAATTTGGTATTCTATACTAAAATATGTTAATTTAATTCATAATTTTGTATAACCATCAATTATTTAAATTCCTAACTTTAGTGTGCATCGATGAATTTGATTCTTGAATTATTATGTATCATTTGATTCAGTCTCTATTGTGAGGGTTTAAATCAACTTATAACTGTCAAATTTATAAATTAAATTAATAATAATGTTAAAGTTTTATAACAACACAGAGTAAATCTACTATAGGTGTCAATTTAGAAAACAAAATCAATCAATATTTACTAATTAAGAACTAATTAATTTTTTTTATAATATTAGATTAACGATTCATTATTTTTGAAATAATATATTAATAACATGTCCATCATCTCTAACGATAGTTTATTTGCTAATACCTTAAAAGCAATACAATAACATATTACTGCCAATGCAAAGTTTCAATGGGCCATGTGGCGCTAAATAATAATGAAGGCTGTAACTTCATTTGCACAACACTACTAATTATGCCAATAATTACGCTTCATTAATGGTTTTTCTTTCTATGAACATCAATGTAACTAACTAAATGTGATACTATATATTTATTTATTTATGATATGCAACAAATTAAATTTATCTTATGTTCGTATGAACATAAAAACATATAATTGTTGGGGTAAATTTTTTTAATTTCCTTATCTACTATTTTTGGAAATTGAATTTTGAAAAGAAATCGTATAATTGAATTACGGTTTTACCCTTCTATTTATAAACATGGGTTTTTGGGCCTTTGTGGGAGTAAATTATTTTTTGTCAAGATGGACTTGAATGTTTAGCTTTTGACCCAAAAGAAAAAAGGCTCCCACTGTTTAGCTCAATGCTTTCACGACAAAAGAGAAGAAGAATGGGCAATGCTCTGTTATATATACTCACACAGCTCATGCATGATTGTATATAAGCACACTGGTTCACCATAATTGAAAATAGTTTTTTTTCTTTCCTCTGCATTCTCATATTCTATCAATGTTTCATCACTGTATCTAGATGGGCCCTGAATTGGTCCTTGGGCTCTTGAACGTGTGCATGGACTTTGTTAATGCAAAAAACAAAGAAGTGTACAAAGCATTGGCAAGAGGAAACAAATCTTAAGCACTACCATTGAGAAGTTTGGCACTTGTCATTGAAACATAAAAATAGAAAAACTCTTAGAGCAACTTCAACATTTTTAATTATTTCGATTTGTTTAGAAAGTAACAATCAAATATGGGATCTGCATGAAATGTGACAGTGCTAATAGAAAAATTGACCATTTTATGTAGATAAGATTGGTGAAGGAGAAGGGCAATCGATGTATGACTACAGTTAATGTTAGTAAGATCTAATCTATCATGTCGTCTTTTAGTTACTTAAATATGTACTCAACATGTATAAAAGTTAGTGATGGATCTAGAAATATTAAGTCATGAAAACAATACATACATACAAATTTTTGTAAAATTAAAAGAACAACATACTGGTATTAAAAGTGTAAATATATATCATATATGTTTTTTTTTAACGAGTTTTCATATTTTGAATTTTTTTTTTCATTTTTAATATTTAAAAAAATTATAGTTCTTATTTTTAATTTAACCTCACTCAAAACCAATAAAAAAAAGCAAATAGAATACAAAAAGAAAATGTAGAGAGAGGATGCACCGCTCACACCATTAGAGAAGTAAAATATAAAGATTGAGTAAGAAATTTGTAATAGAAAAATTCAAACTTATCCAAATATGGTTCAACGTTATATTCTTATCGTTAAGTTTTCAAATCAAATAATACAGCATTATTTAGCCTTTATTAAAATTGTGTAATGGAAATTTTGTAAGAAATTAAAATATCTACATATATAAGAAATTTGATATAGGTTGCCTTAAAATGTAAAAACCATTGTTAATGCTATGTGAGAGGCAGTAGTCCATTAATCACTGTTTCTGTTGGAAAATGACTAATAATTTCGTGTGCTTGGAGAACACATACACATATAAAGTGGTGAACAAACTGCATTATAAAAGGAATAATTTCTCGATATCATGTCTTGCCTTTTGATAATGGGAATCAAACCGAAAGATTTAGCACACACTTAATATTCAAGAAACGCAAGAATTCATACCTAATAATGGGAATTAAATTACTCAATCCTTTGCACCTTTCCTTCTACATCCTTTAAACTAAAGAATAACAGATCAGAAAAAAAAAAAAAAAACCTAATATGTTGAAAAGAGACATTTTCTAGCTGATGTTTTGTATTTTTCGAGTGAAGAGACATGACAGAAAATGAAGCATGTGATTTCAAGCCTAAGATCAACACTAGCTATATATATATATCGTTGATTTGAAAACTTTAGAAAGGGAAACACAACGGGGATACAAAATGAACTTGACCCGGGAAAATCTTCATCTCAGAACTATACAGTATTTGATGAATAAATTAAAATTATTTGATTTTTGTGCAACTTTTTAAAGATCTATTCAATATGACGATAAGAGCAGTAATTATATGTTCCTGTATAGTTTTAATACATTTTATTTCATAAAGATAAAAGGTAAAAGATTTTAAAATTATTTATCCTATAGACGTTCATTTTCAGCATTAATTACGAGCTTTATTTCTTATGTTTTTTTTTTTCAGAAAGACCCCAAGGCTTTCATCTTAAAAAAATTGTTAGAAGTTATTTCAGATAAGATGGGTAGGGTATTGTCAGTATTGAGTATCTTATACTTTGTTTTTTCTTTTAAGCAAATATGTGTTCCTTTCAAATACATGTTCTGGTTGTGAATATATGCTTCGAGAAATCTGATATTGAAGCTTTAGATGACAAAATGACATTTTTTTTATAGAGTGTTCACTTTTTCTCTACAATCTTTCATCTCACACGGTCCCACTTCTTTACCCATATTTGACCACAGCCACACATAACCATCTCATCAAAATTTTTCTTTCCTTGTATAAACTAAAAAAAATCATATCTTATAATTTATTTTCCATTTGTTTTCATCTAAAAGTGAATAAAGAATCAAAAGGAAAAATAAAGAAAGGTTCTTTGGATCATTATCGTTAATGAAGGAGTAGGACATGCTATGAAGAAACAGATGAGCTTGCTTTGCAAATTACAAACCAAACGTAGTGCATGGACCCAACTAGCTAGTGAATTTGCAAAATTGCAACCTCTAAGAGGACCACATATGAAAGTAGGTGCACCAGCCAAGTAGGTCTTTCTTCCCTTTTCAACACAAGCACAAGTGCTTCCTGATTTCATTTGTATGGTGCATTCAGGAATTGAAATTTGTTGTACAAACAATATCTCATTGACGTGACTAGGACATAGCACAAATGCAGGCAAAATGAAACACTTTTCTATTCACATGTGGGGACCTCGTGCGTACACACACACATATTCAAACCTTACCTTATTGTAATAAGATTTTATACACACATACCATTAAATATTATTTGGTTAAGATTAAACACATACTTGAATTGATAACTGATTATTCAAATCACATTTGCAGTTGAATTTTAATTATTTATGAAAAATTAAATTATTAATATTTAGAGCATGTTTGTTTCCAATTTTAAAAGAGTTTTCTCTTTTTAAAAACTAAAAATACTTTTAAAAAGG